TGTTTTTAAAAAAAAAAATATTTACAAGGACGTAAAAGCGAGAGTTCAGTGTATGGAGGTGATCTGGCCGAAGGGACTGAAATGGTTAAGAGAAGATTTCCCGCCACACAGACTCTACGACGGTTTTTTTCGTCAAGTTGTGTTTTTGAAGTGCACTTTCTTAAAAAAAAAAAAAAAAATTAATTAAAAAAAAAAATCATCATAAAAATAATAGCTATTTGGGAGAAGGAGATTATCAGGGCTGATTAGGGTTATCTGAGCCTTAATAAGGGTTTTACAGGAATAATTTTAAATAAAAAATAAAAAAAATAATAAATAAAAATATAATAAAATAAATAATAAAAAATAATAATAATAAAAAAAAAAAAAAAAAATAATATAAAAAAAATAAAAATATAATAAATAATTAAAATAATTAAAAAAAAAAATATAAAAATAATAATATAATAAAAATTATAAAATATAAAAAAAAAAAAAAAAATAAATAAAAAAAAATAAAAAATAAAAAAAAAATAAAAAAATAAAAAAAAAAAATAAAAAAAAAAAAAAATTATTAAAAAAAAAATTTTTTAAAAACTTATTAAAAAAAAAAAAGGTTTACAAGGACTGTAAAAGCGAGAGATTCAGTGTATGGAGGTGATCTGGCCGAAGGGACTGAAATGGTTAAAGAAGATTTCCCGCCACACAGACTCTACGACGGTTTTTTCGTCAAGTTGTGTTTTTGAAGTGCACTTTCTTAAACACAAAAAAAAAAAAAAAAAAAAAAAAAAAAAAAATCATAAAAATAATAGCTATTTGGGAGAAGGAGATTATCAGGGCTGATTAGGGTTAACTGAGTCTTAATAAGGGTTTCTAAAGGAATAAAAAAATTTAAAAAAAAATTTAAAAAAAAAAAAAAAATATAAAAAAAAAATAAAAATAAAAAAAAATAAAAAATAAAAAAAAAATAATAAATAAAAATAAAATAAAATTAAAAAAAAAATAAAAAATAATAAATAATAAAAATAAAAAAAAAAAAAAAAAATAATAAAAAAAAAAAAATAATAAAAAATAATTTTTTTCAAAAATTTAACTAGGAAAAATTTATTTTTTTTTTTTTTTTTTTGGAAAATTTACAAGGACCGTAAAAGCGAGAGTTCAGTGTATGGAAAATCTGGCCGAAGGGACTGAACTGGTTAAAAGAAAAATTTCCCGCCACACAGATCTACGACGGTTTTTCGTCAAGTTGTGTTTTTGAAGTGCACTTTCTTAAAAACAAAAAAAATTAAAAAAAAAAAAAAAATCAAAATAAAAATAATAGCTATTTGGGAGAAGGAGATTATCAATTAGGGGTTAACTGAGTCTTAATAAGGGTTTCTACAGGAATACAAAATAAAAAAAAAAAATAAATATAAAAAATAAAAAAAAATAAAAAAAAATAAAAAAAAAAAAAAAAAAAAAAAAATAAAAAAAAATTAAAAAAATAATAATAAAAAAAATAAAAAAAAAAAAATAATAAAATAATAATAATAATAATAAAAAAAAAAAAAAATTAAAAAAAAAAAAATAAAAAAAAAAAAAAAATTTAAAAAAAATTTAACTAGGAGGATTTAAAAAAAAAAAAAAAAAAGATTTAAAGGACCGTAAAAAAGAAAAAAAAAAAAAAGGTGATCTGGCCGAAGGGAAAAAAAAAAAAAAAAAAAAAAAAAAAAAAAAAAAAAAAAAAAAAAAAAAAAAAAAAAAAAAAAAAAAAAAAAAAAAAAAATTAAAAAAAAAAAAAAAAAAAAAAAAAAAAAAAAAAAAAAAAAAAAAAAAAAAAAAAAAAAAAAAAAAAAAAAAAAAAAAAAAAAAAAATAATAAAAAAAAAAAAAAAAAAAAAAAAAAAAAAAAAAAAAAAAAAAAAAAAAAAAAAAAAAAAAAAAAAAAAAAAAAAAAAAAAAATAAAAAAATTAAAAAAAAAAAAAAAAAATAAAAAATAAAAACTTTCTTAAACGTAAAAAAACAAAAAAAAAAAAGATAAAAGGAAAATAACGTGAATCGGGTCTTTAGGAACAAAATGACAGAAGATGAGCACGGCGCTGGGAAGAAAACGTCGATTCTTTCCCCAAACGGTTCCATGATTCTCAGAAGACGTTCGTCTTTTTTTTTCTACTATGGCTTCCCGCCGAACAACTGTTACATAATGACCCAGAATGCCCCCCAACCCCCCCCCCCCCCGGCGCCCCGTCTGTCCCGTCCACTCACAGAACACGCAATGAGCTCCATTCACCAGGAGGCGGAGCTGGGTTTTTATTCTTGTGACTGTAATAAAGTTCGTACCCCTGAGGAAGTCGTCCGGATTTGGTGATGTCTCTGCACTTCCTGTTTGCCAGATTATTGTGCCTTCACCAGCCAATATCCTACTTGTCTCTCCTGCTGCCGTCTATACCTTCGCTAACGACCGTTTGTGACCGACCCTTGGCTTGTTCCTGGACTACGATTCTGCCTCATCCTCATCAACTACCGTTTGCGAAGGACCTTGGCTTGTTGACTGACTCCGCTTCTGTTTGATCCCTAACCTGTTTGATCTGCTATTGGTTTCCAGCTTGCTCATTCCCTGGTGGGGCGATCCTGAGATCTGCGACCTGGTACTAACACACAGCCAAATCCATCTCCACCATTAGAAGCTCTGGTGAAAACTGGTTAGTGCTTAGACCCCGCACCTCAGGTGAGCCTGCGTCATTCCCAGGGTGACCCGCTGGTGTACCAACCCTGCGGGTTCCAGGTAAGCCTTACACTGCTATATTAACTGGTCTCTGAACCTGACCCAGACCGTGACACATACATAAAGAAAGCCAAGACTAACCCTGTAAGTTCAAGCAAGGTCTTTAATCCCAGGGGAGCACAGAGTCAGGGACTGTGCTCCCCAGGGCCTTGAGAGAAATGGTGGTTAACCAGCATGGATGCATGGATGTGTCTGTAGGTGAGCTAGTGGCCTTGTCTATGGATCGATACGTTATTATTCTCCACTCTTGAGAAGAAGTTCCTGAACATTCAGATGTATGGGACTCCATTGTCTCCAGTGGTGCTACTTAAAGAACCCTGTAGATTAAGAAGTGAAGCTCACAGTGGTTGAGGGGGATAGAAGATCCTGCAAGAGTTTTGGGGTGGAACAAGCACATAGGTGACCATTTCCCTACATAGGTGACACACGCTAGGATCAGGCTCTGAGGACAATGGCGATAGCGGTAGAGATGTTCATGAGTAGTCAGCAGAAAATATATACCGGCAGATCCTCCTAGTGGATGATTGGGTTCACCCGAGGTGCGGAGTCTAGGCACTAACCGGTATTCACCAGAGCTCCTGATGGTGGAGATGGGTTTTTGTGGCATGTTAGCACCAGGTCATGGTCCTCAGCATTGCCCTACCAGGAGGAGAGCAAGTCGGGGTCCATTAGCAGATATAGCAGGTAGATATCAAGCAGAAGCATAGTCAGTAAACAAACCAAAAGTCAATAACAAGTAATAGCTGGATGGGATCGAACGGAAGCATAGTTGATGAACAAGCCAAGGGTCGATAACAAGTGGCAGCGAAGATGAGGACAGCAGCAGCAGCTGGAGAGAGCGCATGGCTTAAGTAGGAAGTTCATGGGAGGGTTCAAGGTCCACTAGAAACAAGACACGCAGGACGATTGTCCAAGGAATAAGGCAGGGAGCCGCCCAGGATCCCTGGTGGTATAGCAAGAAGAACCACTGCCAGAAACCACAGAAGTCGTAGGTTCAGTGTCAGGATCCTGTCCACGGCAGAGGTTCTGGCATTTCTGCCAGTACTCTGCATGGCCGCAGAAGCACACATCAGCCTCAGTTTGGTGCCAGACGGCCTTTATAAGGATGCTCATCACTTTCTCAAGTTACTGGATGATCTCTAGCTCCCTGTGCCGTTTCCTGTGATTTTGACCTGTGATTTCCTGTTACCGACTCGGCTTGCTCCTGGACCTGTCTACTCTGCTTTACCCCTGATCTGACCTCGGCTTGTCTTACGGATACTCTCTCTCGCTTCTCTGTGTATGACCTCGGCTATCCCATCTGACTATGTCTGCTCCGATTCCCACCTGGTACCTGACCTTGGCTTGAACCGACGACTACCCAGGAAACATCTAAATCCCGGAATGGCTTGCATACCACGCACAGGCGCCTCCTGTCTGCAGACCTATCTCCGTGCACCAGCTGTGCTTCTGAGGGGACCACCAACCAGCACTCCTACAGGCGACCTGTGCTATTCTGGGCCTGACTCTCGCTGTCCCACTCTCATGGGAGTCTGGAATTTAGCCGCATCCATTGGCCTCCATCACCAGGTACGTGATATTCAGACCCGGATCCTGACAATAGATCTGAATTTCTCTGTCCATAAGCCATGTAGGGAGTCTGAATGGACTGAGCTCCTGAAGGAGGCTTCCTTGGATAAGCATACAAACCAAAGGGTGAAGGTCAGGCTATGTTTTCATGGACAGAATCTTCAACGTGGCAGAATCTAAAAATACACCCACTCGGAAAGCCCTGAGTCCTGAAGGATGAGCTTGGGCGAGCTGAGAGAGTGAAGCTTTTGGGGCTCCCAGTGAAATGAATGGGTTCGGCTCAGACTATATGTGTTTGATGTTTCCTCCATCCTATGGAGCTCTTTTGGGAGAAGACCAGGGTCTTGAGAACTTTGGCCCTCTAACAGATGGGTAAAGAGAACTATGAGAATTAGGAGATATTTGTGGAAGAAAATCACAAAGTTGTTAGGTCTCCTATTTAATGGAAACCTATATGACAGGCTAAACAAGTCCCAAATAGTTACTGTGTGCAACACAAGCCTACCAGGTCCTATACTAGGCAGTGTGGGCAAGGCCTACTGCACCCATGCAGAGAGGGGTGGTGGACACTAAGTAGAGGCCAGTGGAGGGATTGGCAGAGAAGGGTGGAGGACACTGAGTGGAGGCAAGTGCAGGGATTGGTAAAGAGGGGTGAAGGACATTGAGTGGAGGCAACTGCAGCGATTGGCAGAGAGAATGGAGGACACTGAATGGAGGCCAGTGGAGGGATTGGCAGAGAGGGGTTGAGGACACTGAGTGGAGGTCAGCGGAGGGATTGGCAGAGAGGGGTGGAGGACACCGAATGGAGGCCAGTGGAGAGATTGGCAGAGAGGGCTGGAGGACACTGAATGGAGGTCAGTGGAGGGATTGGCAAAGAGGGGTGGAGGACACTGAGTGGAATCCAGTGGAGGGTTTGGCAGAGAGGGGTGGAAGACATTGAGTTGAGGCAAGTGCAGTGATTGGCAGAGAGGGGTGGAGGACACTGAATGGAGACCAGTGGAGGGATTGGTAGAGAGGGGTGGAGGACTCTGAATGGAGGCCAGTGTAAGAATTGGCAGAGAGGGGTGGAGGACACTGAGTGGAAGCCAGTGGAAGGATTGGCAGAGAGGAGTGGAGGATACTGAGTGAAGGTCAGTAGAGTAATTGGCAGAGAGGGGTGGAGGACATTGAATGGTGGCCAGTGGGGGGATTGGTAGAGAGGGGTGGAGGACACTGAATGGAGGCCAGTGGAAGGATTGGCAGAGAGGGGTGGAGGACACTGAATGTAGGCCAGTGGGGGGATTGGCAGAGAGGGGTGGAGGACACCGAATGGAGGCCAGTGGAGAGATTGGCAGAGAGGGCTGGAGGACACTGAATGGAGGTCAGTGAAGGGATTGGCAGAGAGGGGTGGAGGACACTGAGTGGAAGCCAGCGGAGGGTTATGACAGAGAGGGGTGGAGGACACTGAGTGGAGGTCAGTGGAGGAATTGGAAGAGAGGGGTGGAGCACACTGAATGGAGGTAAGTGGAGGGATTGGCAGAGAGGGCTGGCGGACACCGAATGGAGGCAAGTGGAGGGATTGGCAGAGAGGGCTGGAGGACACTGAATGGAGGTCAGTAGAGGGATTGGCAGAGAGGGGTGGAGGACACTGAGTGGAAGCCAGTGGAGGGTTTGGAAGAGAGGGGTGGAGGACACTGAATAGAAGCCTGGAGGTATCCTGGAGGGGGAGTGGCCTATGTAAAGGTAAGCCAATGAGGAGGGAGTTGCAGTAGTCAAGGTGAGAGATAACCAGGGAGTTCATTAGGAGCTTTGTGGTGTCATTGGTTATAAAGGGGCGTATTCTGGAGATGTTGCGGAGGTTGAGGTAGATGGATTTAGATAGGGATTGGATGTGGGCCTGAAAGGAGAGTTCAGAATCCATGGTTACCCCTAGCACCCTAGAATGCGGGGGATGGGTTGATAGTGGTGCTATTGATCCTGACCAGGGGAAGAGCCAAGTGGAGGATGAAATATTATGAGCTCAGTTTTCATAGTTCTGCTTTAAGTGCACTTCCCCTTTAAATCAATTACGGACAAAATACCGAGCATCCGGCTCTGCTCGACTTCCCTAATGCTGATGAAATGAGATCAGGTGTAGCAGAAGAGTGTTCCCAGGAACATATGAAAGGAACATACTGGAAGTTATTAAAGCTACATTAAGAGGCCAACCTGAGCACTCTCCGGCTAGTCAATGATTGGGTTTTATGATGTAGAAGACATTAACAAAGTATAAGTGCAGCAGCCGGATCTTCCTCCTCCGATTGCCGGAGTCAGGAGGTCAGAGGAAGAATCAGGTAAATCTGCTCTTTTTAATTAGCGCTTCCTTCTGCCTCTCCTCATCCCTGTCCTCTCCGCGACTCGCTGGATGAGGAGAGCTTCCAGCTAATGTGCTTTTAGAGGCCTCCACGAGGCTCATCATTTACTCTGCTCATTGTACGTGAAGCCTTCAACTTACAGAAAGAGCCGGAAGTTTGTTGCGGAGAAGCAGATGATTCCATGGAGTGGTCTGTCCTCCCATGGAGTGGTCTGTCCTCCCGTGGAGTGGTCTATCCTCCCGTGGAGTGATCTGTCCTCCCGTGGAGTGGTCTGTCCTCCCGTGGAGTGGTCTGTCCTCCCGTGGAGTGGTGTGTCCTCCCGTGGAGTGATCTGTCCTCCCGTGGAGTGGTCTGTCCTCCCGTGGAGTGGTCTGTCCTCCCGTGGAGTGGTCTGTCTTCCCGTGGAGTGATCTGTCCTCCCGTGGAGTGGTCTGTCCTCCCGTGGAGTGGTCTGTCCTCCCGTGGAGTGATCTGTCCTTCCGTGGAGTGGTATGTCCTCCCGTGGAGTGGTCTGTCCTCCCGTGGAGTGGTCTGTCCTCCCGTGGAGTGATCTGTCCTCCCATGGAGTGGTCTGTCCTCCTATGAAGTGATCTGTCCTCCCGTGGAGTGGTCTGTCCTCCTGTTAAGTGGTCTGTCCTTCCATGGAGTGGTCTGTCCTCCCGTGAAGTGGTCTGTCCTCCTATGAAGTGATCTGTCCTCCCGTGGAGTGGTCTGTCCTCCCGTGGAGTGGTCTGTCCTCCCGTGGAGTAGTCTGTCCTCCCGTGGAGTGGTCTGTCCTCCCATGGAGTGGTCTGTTCTCCCTCCAGATGAACCATGTGATACGAAACTTTGAGAACAAAACTTTCCAGTATTAGAACTTGATGACCCCCTTTTGTAGAAGAACCATCAGTTGGGTCTTGGGATTATTTAAAGCACGTATGTCAAGCACAAGATCTGGCCATTTTACGTGGCCAATGCGTGTCTCCTGAAATTACAGCACCCTCCTCGTCTCCGCCCCATTTTGAAATTGACAACAGAGAGGAGGACAGAACTCCCCCTACAGATCCTGCGCCTCTCTGGGCAGCCAAGGAACCCCCTCATCTCTGCTTCACCTGGTCTCAGCATTCAGCAGATTCCAGCAGCTGACACCAGCCCTCCTCTGGTCCTCTTCCAGACCCTGCACCTTCTGTTAACAAGCTCCGCCCTAAGCTTCTTCCCAGCAGCAGCACAGAGTGAGGGGGGCTGCACTGTGAGGTAAGGGAGGATGGGGGACACGACTTCTAATGGTGGTGGGGGGGCTCTTGACATTTGATGTAAGTGGAGGTGGGGAGCTCTGGACATCTAGTCTTACAGATGGGAAAAAATAAGTGCAGCGCTAATCATCACATAAAATAGATCACATAAGATAAATCCACACCGGAGCGAATGTGCAAACGACCTTAAAGTCTGAAATGAGTCCATCAAAAAACAGTCCTCATAAAGTGGCCAGTGGATGATCAAAACGTGGTCAGCCTGGAAAGGTGCTTCAGAAAGAGTGACGTAATCCGGAGAGGAATCCTCCACCATCAATTATTACAAACAGCCTCTCGGCACATAGCCTTGACCACCATGGAAACCGCTGCCAAAAAAGAACAGTTAGAAGCCTAAAGGTAATGGCCGAGCCTTCAAGGAACTCACTCCACCGGTTCACATCGATTGCGTCACTCTCCCAGACAACAGAACCGTTTTTTACCCAAATGGAAAAGTATCTCTCCAGAGAATATGAATCAGAGAGGAAACAAAACCGTCTCATAGTGTCGGAAGTCGGAAGTCACCCATTTATTCAGAAGTAATGTACTTACATTAAAAAAACATATAACCAACATATAAAATAAAGATCGACGTTTCAGACCAACAAGATGGCCGCAGTCCGATCTGGGGCTCGATGACGTCACTCACCGAAGCTCCACCCTACGCGTTTTGTGATCAAAAGACGTTGCCTTAGAGACACAACTGGCCCTTTGAAGGCAAACATAATGCTGATGCCGCCTGCGATGAAATTGAGTTTGACACCCCTGGCTTAACCACCTCCCGTCCGGCCGTTGTATATAAACGGCTGGATTGGTGGCAGTGCAGGGTCGGGTGGCCATTTATAAACGGCCTCCCCGCACCCTGCTTGTGCGCGCTCCCTGGGAGCACGCAACACCACAGTCCAGTGCCCGCTGTGTCCTCCGGACACAGTGGAACACCGATCGTGGACATCATTGCTTACTATGTGTGAAATCTGTGAATGATCACAGAGATCACATGGTACAGGGCCATTCACAACAGCCTTGTACCATGAGACAAGCTGTGACCAATCACAGCTCACACAGTATTTCTCAATGGCTGCAGGAATGCAGCCAAAGAGAAGGAGAAATGTGTCGGGGATCGTCGCGCCGCTGGTCCCGGCGCAGGCGCAGTACACCTCCCTGTACGCGAGCGCCGGGACTTGGCCGACCGCGGCAATCAGGTTCGCGCATGCGCAGTAGTGACCGCGGGCGCGCGCCTGGCACCAATGACAGCGCAGGGCGGGATATTTAAACGGCCCTGAGCTGTCATTCAGTGCCTTTTGGTCTTTTGTATCCTGTGAACCTGTGAACCTGTCTGAAGTAAGTTGCTGACCCGGATTGTGCCCTGACCTTGCTGTTTTCTCCTGTTTTGACCCTTGCTTGCCTGACCTCTCTCCTGAATGCCCCCTATTGGATCTGACCTGCTGTTGCTGACCTCGCGTGTGACCCGACTATTCTCTGCCCGCTGCTCTGTACCGCACCGTCCCCATAGTTACCGACCCGGCTTGTATGACCCTGCTCCTGCTCAGCCATCCATCCGTCCCTCTCTACGGGGTCTCCAGACCTCCTCATACCTGGCTCTCTCCCGTGGGAGCCCCTGGCGAATACCCCTACCACTGACGGGTGTCCTCAGTAGTCACGACCTGGTCCTGGGGTACTCCAAGTCCATCCCCACCATCAGGGGCCCTATTGAACAAGTACCCTGGGGCTTAGACTCCGTGCGCTGGGAACATCCGACCAGTGGAGTGCTAGTGGTACCGCCGGGCGGTCCCTTACAAAATGATTGTTTTTACAGCCTTTATGGGTGTAAAAGAAATCAGTGTAAAAAAAAAAAAATCTTCATCACCCCCCACAAGTAGTACAGTGTCACCATGGTGATACTACTGCTAGGGTGACAGTATGTAAAAAAACCCATAAATAATAATATAAAAAAATAAAATAAAAATGTAAAAAAAAATGTTTAAAAATTATAATTTTTGGTTATAAACTAATTTGGGTTTTTTTTTTTTTTTTGCTAAAAAGATAACGGAATAAATTTTGGCTGAGATTTATGAAGAATGATTATTTGCAAACTTTTAAAAGAAAAACACTTTTTTCAACATTTTTGGACTTTTTCAATTACATAGCAAACAAAAAAAAAGTCCCAGCAGTGAATAAATACCACCAAAATAAAGCTTTATCTGTCTCAAAAAAATGCTAAAAAATTCATATGGGTACAGTGTTGCATGACCGCGCAATTGTCATTCAAAGTGTGATAGTGCTGAAAGCTGAAAATTGGCCTGGACTGGAAGGGGGTGAAAGTGTCCGGACTGGAAGGGGGTGAAAGTGTCCGGACCGGAAGGGGGTGAAAGTGTCCGGACCGGAAGGGGGTGAAAGTGTCCGGACCGGAAGGAGGTGAAAGTGTCCGGACCGGAAGGGGGGGAAAGTGTCCGGACCGGAAGGGGGTGAAAGTGTCCGGACCGGAAGGGGGTGAAAGTGTCCGGACCGGAAGGGGGGGAGGAAGTGTCCGGACCGGAAGGGGGGGAAAGTGTCCGGACCGGAAGGGGGGGGAAAGTGTCCGGACGGAAGGGGAAGGGGGGGAAAGTGTCCGGACCGGAAGGGGGTGAAAGTGTCCGGACCGGAAGGGGGTGAAAGTGTCCGGACCGGAAGGGGGGGAAGTGTCCGGACCGGAAGGGGGGGAAAGTGTCCAGACCGGAAGGGGGGGAAAAGTGTCCGGACCGGAAGGGGGAGAAAGTGTCCGGACTGGAAGGGGGGGAAAGTGTCCAGACTGGAAGGGGGGGGGGGAAGTGTCTAGAATGGAAGGGGGTGAAAGTGTCCGGACCGGAAAGGGGGTGAAAGTGTCCGGACCGGAAGGAGGTGAAAGTGTCCGGACCGGAAGGGGGGGGGAAAGTGTCTGGACCGGAAGGGGGGAAAGTGTCCGGACCAGAAGGGGGTGAAAGTGTCCAGACCGGAAGGGGGTGAAAGTGTCCGGACCGGAAGGGGGTGAAAGTGTCCGGACCGGAAGGGGGGGAAGTGTCCGGACCGGAAGGGGGGGAAAGTGTCCAGACCGGAAGGGGGGGGAAAGTGTCCGGACCGGAAGGGGGGGAAAGTGTCCGGACTGGAAGGGGGGGAAAGTGTCCAGACTGGAAGGGGGGGGGGAAAGTGTCTAGACTGGAAGGGGGTGAAAGTGTTCGGACTGGAAGGGGGGGAAAGTGTCCAGACTGGAAGGGGGGGGGAAAGTGTCCGGACCGGAAGGGGGGGGAAAGTGTCCAGACTTGAAGGGGGGGGAAAGTGTCCGGACCGGAAGGGGTGGAAAGTGTCCGGACTGGAAGGGGGGGAAAGTGTCCGGACTGGAAGGGGTGGAAAGTGTCCGGACTGGAAGGGGGGGAAAGTGTCCGGACTGGAAGGGGGGGAAAGTGTCGGACTGGAAGGGGGGGAAAGTGTCCGGACTGGAAGGGGGGGGAAAGTGTCCAGACTGGAAGGGGGGGGAAAGTGTCTAGACTGGAAGGGGGTGAAAGTGTTCGGACTGGAAGGGGGGGGGAAAGTGTCCAGACTGGAAGGGGGGGGGAAAGTGTCCGGACCGGAAGGAGGGGAAAGTGTCCAGACTTGAAGGGGGGGGAAAGTGTCCGGACCGGAAGGGTGGAAAGTGTCCGGACCGGAAGGGGGGGAAAGTGTCTGGACCGGAAGGGGGGGAAAGTGTCCAGACTGGAAGGGGGGGAAGTGTCCAGACTGGAAGGGGGGGGAAAGTGTCTAGACTGGAAGGGGTGAAAGTGTTCGGACTGGAAGGGGGGGAAAGTGTCCAGACTGGAAGGGGGGGGGAAAGTGTCCGGACCGGAAGGAGGGGAAAGTGTCCAGACTTGAAGGGGGGGGAAAGTGTCCGGACCGGAAGGGGTGGAAAGTGTCCGGACCGGAAGGGGGGGAAAGTGTCCGGACTGGAAGGGGTGGAAAGTGGAAGTGGTTAAAGTAACTCTTTGGCTAAAAATGCTGAAGACCGGAAATAGCACCCTCCCTCTCATACCGCACAGCCAAGAGAAACTGCAGCCTGAAGTGTGTTCCCACTCTGCACTCAATGGTTTGATCCACCAGCCAGGAGACCCGGTGCCCAGGTCCAGGAACTCCTATGTTGCACTAAATGTGTAATGACATTATGGACTTTGTCATCTACAGATCAGCCCCCCTACATCCTACATCCAAAGACAAAACCTTTTTTTTGTTTAGTTTTACATAGTGTAGGGCTTCATTTAAAAGTTTTCTGATGGTTTTTTTTTTTTTTTTCCTACCTGTCCCATTACGTTGATTTCCCTTCCTTTCCTGTCCTAAAGACACCAAGGAAAACTCTCCAGATATTTACATAGTTTGTTTGGCTGAAAAAAGTAAAAAAATCCGTCCAGTTCAACCAACAGAGACGGGAAATCTGCTGTGATATCTTTCGTTGTCCCCATTGGAAACTTCCTTTACTTCCTATTCTGGTGACAACTTTATGTGAATGGACAAGGGGGAGGGGGTAGCTAAATGACGTTATCACTTCCCAATATGAGGGATCCAGGTCCCATAGCCGCAGTGGACCAGAAGTGCAACGCTAGCTCTAATATCCGGTGTCAAGACAAGAAGTGAATTTGATGGACACGCCTCAGTTTGAGATACACCTCAGGAGAGGTAAGTGTTCTCTGAACACCTAATATTATGTAGTGCCCTCTAGGTACATAGGTTTTTGGGTTTTTTTTAGTGGCTTGTTAGAAGCCTGGGATGAGTCAGCCTGGGAGTGAGGCAGTGAGGTTACCTCAGGGCAGGCTGGGAGGCTCTACAGGTCAGGGCTTCTGGAGCTCTCCAACCCTGCTGTAAAACGGTTTAAATTTCCGGAAGATTGTTGGAGAAGGGGAGGAGGCCTGGATTTGCATGTTTAGTGGAACCTGGCCAAACCCCAGGCAGGAGGCCTGGCATGGTGGCTAGGACAGCCCTTGAATGTGAGAGAGCCTGAACAGCCAGGAGAGGTTGCTGGAGTCGGGTCAAAGAAGGACTGAAGGAAGGTGCTGGAACATGGAGCCTGGGTGCGGGCCCCAGGGAGGGGGGCCTACCTACAGACTGAAGCAGACAGGAGGATCTCCACTGTACCTCATTCTCAAATTTCCGGAAGATGGGTGGAGAAGGGGAGGAGGCCTGGATTTGCATGTTTAGTGGAACCTGGCCAAACCCCAGGCAGGAGGCCCAGCATGGTGGCTAGGACAGCCTTTAAATATGAGAGAGCCTGAACAGCCAGGAGAGGTTGTTGGAGTCGGGTCAAAGAAGGACTGAAGGAAGGTGCTGGAACATGGAGCCTGGGTGTGGGCCCCAGGGAGGGGGGCCTACCTACAGACTGAAGCAGACAGGAGGATCTCCACTGTACCTCATTCTCAAATTTCTGGAAGATGGGCGGAGTACTGCTCTCCCCTCCACCAGTATAGCTCCCTCTCCCATATAGATTCCCTCCTCCATTAATACAGATCCTTGCAGTACATATCCCCTCCACCTGTACAAACCCCCAGTACGGATCCCCACCCCCCTATAACTCCCACCAGTATGGCTCTCCCCCTCCACCAGTATAACTCCCTCTCCCATACAGATTCCCTCCCCCATTAGTACAGCTCCCCACCAGTACATATCCCCTCCACCAGTACAACTTCCCCCAGTACGGATCCCCCACCCTCCTACAACTCCCACCAGTATGGCTCTCTGCCTCCACCAGTACAACTCCCCCCCAGTACAGATCCCCCCCACTTGTACAGATCTCACCCGTACAGCTTTTCCGCTCCACCAGTATAGCTTCCTCTCCAGTACAGACACCCCCCCCCAATAAGTATAGAATTCCCCTCTTCCCAGCTCTCCTCCCCCCATGAAATCCACTCACCAGACAGTTCAGAGCAGGGGCGGACTGACAACTCATGGGGCCCCCGGTCAACAGGGGATCATGGGGCCTCTGTGTCCTCACCCACACTAAAACCACACCCAAAAAGCCTATGAAAGGTACTAGGGGCATCTCATGGGGCCCCCTACTGACCCTGGGCCCTCGGGTACTGCCCAAGTGCCCAAATGGTCAGTCCACCCATGGTTCTGAGTGAACTCAACAAGGGGGGGGGAGTCCTCCCTCCTTTGTGTCATGTGACTGGATCCAAGGAGAAGCCTCCCCCTCTCTGAATGTTCGCTGCCTATCTCTGGGTTCTGGAATGATCAGCGGCTGCGGTGCAGAACCGCGTGTCTAGTGTCAGTGCTCGCTGTGGCACCATGGACTCTCTGGAGGGGATTTGGACCCCCTTATCTATGACCCCCGGGCACAGGCAACCTACTGAACTCTAGAGGTACAACATGTGCCCCCCTTGCGCCCCTTGACCCACAGTGGGGCCCCAGAATACCCCTTCAGAGCTGTCCTGCGTGATATTCTGTCGCATTTCCTCACAGTCATCCAATGCGACATTTCGGGCTCCTAGAAATCCATCTCCTGACATTTCAGGGGCCACCAGACATAAAAGGGTCGAGATCTGTGCAGAATAAAAGAGATTCAGCAGATTCGGGAACTCTCCGGGAATATATTACCGTCCACACAGGGGCTCTGCGTGTGTACAGCAACAAAAAAAAAAAAAAATTGCAGCGGCATCGAAAATATTTTAATGCTTAGAAGATTTTTTTTTTGTAATCCTGCAAAATGCTGATACATGTTTAATGCCGATTTCATTAACTCGGCGCCCTTTCTATAATAAAGCTGTACAGCAATTTGACGATAAGGACGCCGCTTTAGACACGGGACGGAATTGGCGATGCAAATTGCAGGAACGCCGGGCAGCGCTCTCAGCAGGGTTTAAACAGGATAAAGATTTAACAAAGTGCCAAAGCAGGCGGAATGTCAAGAGCGCACTTTATTCCGTACATCATCTTTATTCAGGATTAGTCGGGGGAGGGGGGGTGGTAAAATCCCCCCAGTAATTCGGCGCTGCTAAAAATAAACATCAAACATCGGGAGGAGATTTGAAGCGAATCATCAGCTGTCTGTGACCGTTCCTCCGACACGACGAGAAAAATCCGCAGCTTTCAAGAAAGTTGCAAACGTTTACTTTCT